GCACCAGGTGGTTGTGACATGGGTTGGGTTGTTTGCAGGACATGAGCTGAGGGCCTGAGACATCAGTGATGGAGGGAAGGGCTCAGGGAGGCGCTTCCAGACATGACTGAGCTTAAACACCTCGGACAAAATCATGACTCCACAGAATTGAGCTCTGGTTCCTTTGGGATGGAGATTTATCTGCCCCCTGAGCCATTGGGAGGGAGAGGAACTCTTGTCGTTTGTGGTATCCTGGAAACTTGGGAATATTCCCTCAGCAAACAGTAGGTTTGAGCCTGTGGAGCTGTGAGTGATCTTTGTTTCATTGATTTCTCTTGGTCTGCAGTTTCCTGAAGGACAAGATAAACTTCAGAATTTCCCCCTGCCCCTTTGATGCTTATTTTCCCCAAAAGCTGCTCAGAGCAGCCCGTGGGCCCCAAGGCTGAGTTCTGTTTGTGTCCCATGAGCTGCTGAGAGCACAACTCCAGCCCCAGGGCTGTCCCAGAACCACACAAGGTCCTGGAAGGTCTGCAGTCCACTTCTTCCTGGGTCAGCAGTGCCACTGCCTCAGCCAGAAGTGTCTCAGTCACAATGCCTTCTGACCACTGAAGGTTTCTCCCTTGGCAGAGTTGGTTTTGGTGGCAGCGAGATCTTTGCATTTGAGAGACGTTAAATTGAGAGACTCTGTTGTGAGACTGATTAATGTCAAAATCCAAAGGCATGAGGGGTGTCTTAAGCATTCAGGGTGATATAAATACCAACAGTTCTTTCATTTCAACAATTCTTAAATTTCTTTTGAAAGAAATTTAAATCTCTCATCTAAAAGAGAATGCACCAGAAAGAGGGTATGTGAAATCTTACCTCCCTCCCAGGGAGAAATACTTACCTACAGCTTGACTTAGGTGTGTTGGAGGATTAAAATCCAGAGCTATTTATTGTATTGCTTCTTTACTGCTCAGTTCTCTTTCTGGTCCTGAGCAATTGGATCAAACTCTCTTAAAGCAGAGAACAGCACTGGCTGCTTTTATACAGGGACTTAAAGGATGCATTTGAGAAAGTGGGAGAGTTGGAGTTCCTCTGTCTTTTTGTATGTCCAGAAGTGGTATTTACAGGCCCCATAAATCACCTCTTGCTGTGAAGAGGAGCAATGGGATTGCTGCACTAAGAATACAGGAATATAACTTCATATCCCAGTGGCAAAGGTACTTTCCAGGAGGGAAGCAGTCCTGGGTTCTGGACAGCTACAATTGGCCTGGGTGTCCCTGTGTGCACTGGGATGGCAGGAGAGGAGGGGGGTTTGGTGTTCACAGCTCTAGAAAACCAACCCAGAAGTGACCTGTGCATTACACACCAAACATCCAGAGTTTGGGACAGGGATTTAGACACCTAAAAGCTTCAGTTTTGAGGCAGCATTTCCTGCTGAGTTATTGACTTTATCTGTACCTCCCTGCACAGAGCTCCAGGTAGAATAATTTGTTTGTATTGACAAGAGCTGAGGTGGAAGTAAATTAATTTAGTCAAGCTCATCGATTTTTCCACACTTATGAAGAAGGGAGGTAAGATCATCTTGATGCTGCCATCACAAGCTTCTCTCAAAGGGTCATATTCTACTTTTTCTGAAGGTAATTCAACAAAAATAATGGTGGGTTTGCTGAATTTTCCCAAAGAGAAGCCAGTTCTGACACGGCACTTAAATTAAGGGTGACTTTCACCAAAAGCTGAAACATGTTTGAAAATCAGAGTGATGTGGAATCTCTGACTTGCAGTCTCAACAGAATGAGCAGTAAACCTGGGAGTAAAACACCAGGAGCAGGAATTTTACAGCTTCAAAGGGTATTTGAGTTCTGTCTCTAGTCTGGAAATATGGAATAATCAGAACTACAGGGTGGAATTTATCTCAACATGTCATAGATCAAGTCTGATCATAAATTCTGACTTGTGAGCCTGTAATACCTTTCCAGTTAGGGCAAGCCTTGGGAATGTGGGATAAAAATGGCTCCATTATTTACCCGTGGATATCTCAATTACTGCTGTCCTTGACTGGTCTTGTTCTTTTCATAATTGGCCTTCTGAGGGGTATTAAAATTAACCACATATTGAATGGTTCTTACCATTTACTGCAGGTGACCTTCTGAGGGACATTCACTGATCATAAGCAGTCAGTTTAATTTCATTTATTGATTAAATGAAACTAATGAATTTCCTTTATTGAAACTTGATTGGGGGAAACAAATATGTGAAAGTTATTTATCTCACTTGTGTGGAACTTCCTTAAGAAACACCAAAGAACCATAATGTAGGTTGTATGAAGTATATAGGAAGTGGTCTTGTTATTTATTTCATTTCCTATTTGAGAAATTATCAAAAATATGTGAAATTATTCGAAAGGCCAGTCTGGTGTGTTCTGCATCAGCCCCATTCACAGGAAAGTGTTTAGTACTTAGCATTTCTATAGTGCTATGTGGGTTCATATTTGTCTGACTCCCCCTGGCAGAGATTTTTGACACACTCCTTAGTCTTCATCTGTCCCTGAAATGGGTAATTTAGGCAGCATGGCCGATTAATTACTCAAAAAAAAAAAAAAAGCCCTTTTGTGCTCAGGGTGATGTAACTGCAATTACCTCTCATTTCAGTGTGGAAAAGGTGTGATAACCACTCATTTGTGCAGCTGAAGGGTTTAACTGGGAGTTATTACAGTGCACAGTGCAATTGTAATTAAAGCACGCGGGTTTCTGGTATGAAAAGTCCTCATACATCAAGTGGCAATAAGAGATGAATCAGTCATATTAAATCCCCAGTTTCTTTGTTCACATTGTGTCAAACCCCGAATTTCCAGTGTTGTCAGTGCTCACCTGGTTAAACACAGAACTCCTGCAGAGCACAGGGACACGGGGCAATAATAACTTAAATGATATTTACACATTTGAAGGGATTCAGATGCTTCTGATTAACTGGGAATGGATGAGTTTAGGAGTAAAAACATCAGCTTCTTTTTAGAAAGCATCCCCCAAAGAACATGTGCACTGGAAGTCTGGTTGCTTTGCATGACATCATAGGTGGGTTCAAAATGTTGTACAAGTTTAAATTTGCAGCTTGCAAAGCCAGTTTTCTGTGAGTGTGAAGGAAAAAAAATCCTGTCCTGCTTTGGTGCTGAGGCTGGCAAGGAAATCAGGACGTTTGCCCTTGGCACAGGGTGGTGAGCTCTGGGTTATTGCCTGGTCATGTGGGAATTAAGGCAGTTGCAGGGCTTGGTCTAACTGTGCAAAGCACTTCCAGCTTTCCCTAATTGTAACTCTGTAGGAATAAAGCCCTTATTTTCCAGAGGGATGCAGAAACACCCTCCAACCACTTTTTCCTCAGGGTTTTGGAGGCATTTTATAAGCAAGTGATATTTGCCTGGCTGCCAGCAGTTATCATAAATTGATAAATAATCCATTTATGCCAAGTTGAGTTTGAATGTGTTCAATGGTGAGTACAAGGGCTCCAAATAACCAGACAAATTAGAGCAAAGACTGATAAGAGAACAGACAATCTGATCCAAACCTGCTCCGTGGGCAGAGATCAGGTCGATAATATTGTGCTGCAGGACACAAAGAAAGGAGTTTGGGTCATAAAACAGCGTAAAAATTGGCACATTTATCTTTCCTCACCACTTTTCTTCTGTCTCTAGAGAGTAGGGACAGCCCTGAGATCCCATAATGTGCAGAGTCATGTGTGGAAACATAAATATAGAAGAGGAGAGACCTCAGTGGGGTTGTCCCAAAGTGGCACCCGAGCTGGGTGTTGTAGGGAGAGGGAGTTCCTATGGCAGCAGGAATGAGCTCTTTGCCATTTTATTTAGAAACCAGCATGAACTGCTCTGGTTCTTTGAGGATATAAAAGTTCTAATCTTGGTCTGCTCCAGAGGCTTTTGTGGAGCTGGTTAGTGTTGGATATATGGGCAGCTCCACCACATTCCTTCCATATCCGACGCCGATACCTCTTCAAGAGCTTTTCGCGGCCCACTACACTAATTCAGGAGCTGCTGCAAGAAAGATGGAATGTGGACAGTACAGCTCCCTGCTGCTCTGACTGGACAGAGCAGACATTCCTTGGCCTTGAAATCCTCAGTAATTTCGGGATTTGTTTGGCTAAAACAGTGTTTTTTGCTCTGCAAACATCAGAAGCGCTGACCTTTTATACAAAATAGGCACTTCAGTAATTTCTCCCCCTATTTTTCATGGCAAGTTGTCATTTGTTGTTCAAAGCCCTTTAAGGTTATCCTATTATTTGAAAACTTTAGAGGTTTCTTCAAAGAAGGAAACTGTGAAGAAAATGTTTGAGCCCATAATCCTATTTACAGATGGGATTTTAGAGGTAAGAGGTCACCTCTTAGTTAAGGATTCCTTATTAGATTGTTGTTTAAAAAAGATAAAAGAAGAAAGTGGGGAGTGGGTAACACATACTTTTGATTCCTTTCAATTAAAATGCTGCAGTATTTTTATTTTCAAAGGTAGATGAACCCAGTTTTAAAAAGTGCCTGATTTTTCTGGGCTGATCATCCAAATAGAAATCACATTTATTTAGAATAACCTTAGTGGTTTAAAATATTGCAGTTTGAGTTTTCTCTGCTGTCTGGGTTGGAATAGAAACAAAAGCCATCTGCTTTTTAGCTTGTCAGGAGATATCCATCATCCCACTGGCAATTTTGTTCACTGTGCTCCCAGCTGATGGCTTCCCTCTGACTAAATTCCCTGGAAAAGCACAGAATCCATATGTTTGCTTGTCTCAGAAATGGCAACGAAAAGCACAACCTAATGAAACAAAATAAATACATTTCAGGCAATAAAGATGGAAAAATAACAAAGCAAAAGGAGCCCAAGGGATTTGTTCAAACGAACAGAGCAATTTCTAAAAGCCTAATGGTGCAGCTCAGATTGTATATAATTGTATATTTGAAAACTCAGATTCGTTGGGTAAAAGAATTTGGTATTTTCTTCCTGTAATTTATAGTGGTTTGTTGGTTTGGGGTTGGTTTTCAGAAGTGACCTGGAAATTCAGTGGCTCAGGTTCCAATGGCACAGACGTGACCCCAGCGTGTGTGGCTGCAAGTGAGCAGGTAAAGTAGCAAACAGGGATTTGAAATGTATTGATACTTGTATTTTTCCCCCCCGTGGGGTATTTTAATACAGCAGGAATTTAAGGCTGATGTGTTTTAATCAAAGCCTTGAAGCAATAGTTAAAGTCACAAAATGGCTTCTGTTAAACTTCCCTTGTTTTCAAACACCCAGAACTTCCACTGGCAGCACAGATGGCCTGGATTTGATCTATACCCCAAGCAGATTTCTTGGGGTTGGTTGCTTAGTTTTATGCATTATTTAAAAAAAATAAAAAGCCTTGGCTTCCTTTGAGTCATGGCCATCATAAAAGCTGCACTTTGTATTATACTTTATGAGGTAAAATTGCAAATTTGCTCTTCTTGGCTTTCCACGAGAGACCAGTTAAGTTTGAACCTGCAGAGCTGCCACAGAGCCACATCCTGTCTGTATTTCCACGTGTTTAAGCTTCCCCTTAGTGAGGACCTGCCAGGATGAGGATTTGAAGGTCTTGCTGCAGTTCAGACTCTCTCATAAAGCAATTTTCTATTTTGACAACTTTGAAAAATGACGCAGTTTTGCATAGTCAACATTTGGAGAGCTAATCCAGTGGTTTTTAACGAAGGCAGGTGATTGTTTCTCTTTTTTAAACCCAAATGAGGTGAGATGTGAGTAACTTTGGTGCTAAATTAACTGTAGATGGTTTCTGCCTTTTTTACAGTGGCTGAAGAGCCGATTTCTCTTGTAGCTGATTCTGGCAGGTTTGTTCCACTTAATGGTAAAAAGGTCAATTGCATGAGAATAAAAAGGAAGAAAAAAATCTAAAATGGCATCTTTGAACTAGACAGGCAGTGAAATTAAAATTCTAAATGGTTGATAGGAGGCTTGGAATGCCCCCTGAATAGAAGACTAAACACAGTCGCCTCCTTTATGGAAGAATCTTTTGTTGAAGGTTGGCTTTTCTATCTTTTTGCTGAATTTCCATCAGCTATTTCATTGTCTAATTACTGCCAGTAAAAGTTATTTATTTCTTTTGTCTAACAGCCATTTCTGCAAGTTCTGTGCCCGCCTTGACCACAGAAAAACCTCTTTTCTTCATTTCATTGCTTATATTATAAAACACACTTTGTGTCTAATCCTTGTTTCCTTTACATCTCGATTTTAGCAATAAATATTGCCTGAAAGTTTAGATCTAATTACTGAAATCACTTGGGAATCTCCTACGTACAGAAAGATGATCAAAACTCTGATTTTTATTTATAGTCTCAGTTCTAATTAATGAACATCTTTGTCTGAGCAAAATTATCCCCTTTCTGATATTTTTTTTTCCATGCTTTATAGTTTGGGATCATCTCCATGTTTCATCAATATCCAGTTGGATTTTTTCCTCCAGTTCATTAATAAAGATATTAAATTGCACCAGCCAACATAACAACAAACATTGCTGGATCTGTTCTTTCCTCTTGAGGTCTACACCCTTTGTTTCCTTTACAGTTAAACATTTTCCACGTTGATCAGGTATTGTCTTGCCAGGTTCCTTACTTAAAAATTTCCTGGGTATGAAATTTTAGTCCAGTTAAAAGCATCTTTCTCCTCCTTCTTTCCCCTTTGCCCCATGGAGTGAATTTTTTTCCTCATTTGTATTTTTTGCAAAATAATTCAGTTTCATCAAAATGTTGAGTCTCTGCCAAACCCGAGAGGGACTTTAACTGGAACACAGCGGGGTTAGAGGTGGAAGTATCCATGGAAACAAACTTCCCTGCAGATGTTCAGATATTCCTCGGGCATCCCAAGCACGGGTAGAACGTGGGGCTGGTTCTGTCTTTGAAGGTTCACACCTGACCAGCACAGCCTGAGCTCTGTTTAATGTCAGATCCCAGCTCCAACAGGTATTTCAGAGTAATTGGGCTGAAATAATGGATCCACTTCCCTGGTATTGTCTTTGTAGGGAAAAGACTACATTTTCTCAGTGTTTCTTCTCTCAAGTTGCATCCTTAGCTCCATTCTCTCCCATTTTGCTCTGCTTTTTAAGCAGCTCTGTTGAATCCTTGCCTTAACCTTTATATCATTCCCCTCTCCTTGCACCTGAGCTAATCCACAGCCAGGACTGCAGCCAAACCCTGCCTGCCTGGCTCAGCCAAGCAGTTCCAGTCAGGAATATCATCCATGGGATTGGATGGACGAACATAGGAGAAGTAACCAGAATGCACCAGCTCAACACCCTTCTCCCAATCCAGCCCTCAGGTAATTCTCCCTGAATTCTGTAAAGATGTATCTAAAAGATCTCGAACCATTTCCCTGTTTACATTTTTTCCTCTCTGGTTTCATTCAGGCCCTTGGATCTAAGCCAATTTTTAAAGTCCTAATTGCTCAGGAGCCCCTCACGTGCTCCTACAGGGAGCTTGGCACCATACAGGCAAAGTCCAGTGAAAAAATTGGGGATTTAGGTAATTTATGATTCCCAGGAGGAGGCAGTGTTTCTAATCTGCTCATAAACTAAGCTCTGAATCTAATTTTTTATTAGTATCTTCATTACTCTTCAAAATAATCTTAACCTGGAGCTCAGGTAGAGAATTCTTGTGTTGATAAAAGCTGGCAAAGAGAAATAAGCTGACAGCAGAATTGCTGGCTTGGTGTCCCCCCCCTTCATCCCATACTCTGTTTCCTTCCTCTGGTTTTGTAGCCAAAATAACTGAGTATTTATGAAATAAATTCTTATTTTAATAAGCATTAACCAGACAACATGTAATTATCGACAGGGGAGCAGAAAATAAGGTGCTGCATTAAGGAACGTCAGTGAAAATAATGGATCTAAAACTGCAGAGACTTTTTTATAAACACATCAGAAATGCTTGAGGCTTCTCAGATGATCCAGGGGGGGTTCCCAATTCCCACCTTGTTTGCATCCCTCCTTAGTTCAGTTTAGACTCTGTTCCTTTCCAGCCACGTGTTCTTCCAAAATACAACAAGATGTTCTGGCTCATTGCAGTTGCTCCCTGTAAATGGGACAGTGAAAATTAATGGGGTTTGCCTGACCCCGGGTCAAAGAGCTCTTTAACTTGGTTCTTTCTGTTTAACTTCCTGGCCTGATAATGCTGGAAATAAATCCTTCAGGGAGATGCTCTGGGTTGTGTCTTAATCTGTGGCAGTTACATCATGTACCCTGAAACAACTGCAAAGAAATGAAGCTTCATGTGTAGTCTGCTGAGTAAATCTTCATGGTGTTGGGTTTTTTTGCGCCAGTCTGAGGAAACTGAGTTTGGTGTTTGCCACTGAATCCTTTGCAGGATGTTTAAAATGAAATTTTTTTACAAAAAAAAGAAAAAAATAATCTAGACCCTGTTAATGAGTTTAAGATTTCTTTTTTTTTTTTACTCAAAAAATAGTTCTTAAATAACCTGAGAGTTCTGCAAGGTTGTCATTGTCTTCATCCTGGTGTCCCTGTAGGCCCTGGACATTGAGCTGGTCAAACAAACGGGCTCAGCTGGATGTTGGGAATGAAAGACATCCCTGGACTTGGGTGAGATCAAAGGAAATGTCGACCATGAGCTGCCAGGGAGTGCTGCACCTTCCCAACCGCTCAGGAAATGGGGGGAATTCCCTCCAGGATGAACCAGGCTGGGGTGAGTGTGGATATTACACATCCATATGGATTTACAGCAGAGCATGGAATGCCTTGGCACTTGGCAGAACCCGGCACATCAGGGAGTGGGGAGTGACTGCAGAGCATTCCCAGTGCCTGATAAATGTAATTAATAATTAGATGTTTCCCTCAAGGACTGATTTTGCTGTAGGAATTGTTCCTAGGTAATTCACAACACTGCTAGTTTGGTTGAGTTTCCCACAATCCTATGGGATTGTGAGACATTTACATTACAAAGGACTGAAAAATGTGGTCACTGGAGTCAGGATAATTACAAGTAATTATTATGGTAATTAATAATGGTAATTTTAGTGCCAATGGGTCCCATCCTTTCAATTAGCTGGGAATGAGATGAAGGTCTTCTGGCAGAAAAGGAGGAAGAAAAGGTGCTTTTTGGTTTACTTTGCTCATATCCCTGGAGAGGAGAGGAATTACAGCAGGAAGGAGCCTGTGATTGCTATTGTCATTTGTAACTGGGTTTGTTGTTGTTCCCTTATTTTTCCAGGGGCAGTTGTATAATTTGTTGACATCATTAGTTGATAGTAACTGTGTCTAACCTGCATTTTCCTTGAAGTTTGCTGTTGCCTGCTCAGCCAGAAGAAAGGCTGGTGTGCCCAAAGCTGCATTTGCTGGTTTAATAGGGCCTGAAAACTTGTTCATAGCAGGGGAAAATTGATTAAAGAGGGTTGTTCCTGGGAAAAATCCATTCTGCTCCTTCAGAAAGCAAGAACGAAGATCTGTGTTTCATTCTCATGGGCTGCCACCTGAGGGCCAAGCCAAGGACAGCCAAACCAGTCACTTCACCTGGGCAGTGCTTGGAGTGACCTTGGGAACAGTTTTATGGAAAATAACGCTCACAACCCTTAAAAAGACAGGCAAGGGGATGGTGAAGGTGGTAACCACTAAGGTGGGCACAGAGTGCCTGCAAATGCCTGGATAAAATGGTGTTGGGCCTCCTCTACTGGTGCTTTTCAAGTGTCCTTAAAAATTACAACTCCAAGGCTGCCAGAGCTCAGGGATTGTTTGGCTGATCCTCTCAGGGACAGGGTGTGACTGCTGGGATGGGCCTGGATGGTCCTTGTGAGTCCCTTCCAACTCAGCATATCCTGGGATTTTGTGACTTCTTATTGTTCTATTCATCCTGCCCAAACAGAGCCTGTTCCCAGTGAATCCCTGGGAACCGATGGCCCGTGTGCAGGGTGGGTTTTCAAGGAGCAGGTGGGAAGGTGTGACTCAGGAATCATTTCTCAGGGCACTGATCAACCGTGCAGTAGTTTCCTGCTGCAAGCTCAGCCTCTGTCATCCTGAAATACTGAGAGTGGGAGATTGGAATGCTCTGCAAATACAGGCCTGGTCATGGGGAAAACTGGAGATGGGGATTGATGGCACTGAAGGCATTTTGCTAGTGCAGAACTGTGTCTGCTGCTCCTCCCTGCTCTGGGTGTGTGTCCCTGCTGCTTCCCGGGAGCTGCCTGTCCTTCTGATCCGAGTCCAAGGGGCTGGATCAGCACAGCCCCTTTCCTGCTGCTGCAGGAGGGGCACCCATCCCATTTTTACCAGCAGGAGGCTGGGTTTGGTGGGTTGAATTTTTCCCAGTCTGACTTCTGTAGGACATTCAATCCTGGGAAGTTTTGTAGCTCTCCCACTCGAGCTTGTGGGGCTGTTTTCCCTCCTCTTCCCTCGGTCACACTTAGAGTGGCAATTCCGTTCTTTTTTATTTTGGCTAATCAAGCCAGAGTCTCTCAGTTCCCGGCTTCCTTCTGTTCCCCAATTACCCTGGTAATCCTTTTCAAACCAGTTTGCCTTTCTGACTCTGTTACAGCTCTGGTAGCCTTTGCTCAGCCTCTCAAAGGAGGTAATTAGGCCCTTGTCCAGCAGCTTGCAAGTTGAAAATAATTCCCATAGCTTTAATTTCTCCTTTTTGCCACTGTGTGGGAACTTAGTCTGAGATCACCTGGGTGGGTGTTCAGTGAGTTCATTTGACACAGTTACACCAGAACACTTTGCTGCTGCCTGAGCCTGAGTTTGTGCCTTGTCCTGCTGAGTTTCACCCAATTCTGGTTTCCCTCATCACTCATAAACTTGGGGTTACTTAAACAATATACAGGTTATGATATATTTGCTGAGCCCATGATTCTTTTTGTGGGTTGACCAAACAAAATCAATATTGGAAGATAATTCTGCTGAGAAAAATGGGTGAATTTAACAGGGGGAGCTGAACTTTGTAATTAGCACCTTATTCAGCAGTTGAGGATGTGTTGGTGTAAATTGGCTTTAAACAAAACAACAGTAAACTTGGTTGCTGCAGGGTTTAGATACTACAGGAGATAGCTTCCAATTTCATTTCCACATGTCCTGTGCAGCCAACAGAGTGCAAAAGGCACAATAAGAGCTTTGCACTCCAGCAAAATCCTTTTGGGTTATCTGATTTAATAACACGGAGGAGAAAATAAAATTTCCTTCTGGGTTGGTATAAATAGACATAACTTTTGACTTCTGGAGGCTCTTCTTACTTAGAGTGGCTGAGGCTGTGGCTGTAATATGTTATTTTTTGTGACATTTTCTGCCACAGGTGCTTTTAAATGGAAAGTGGGGCTCAATTTAAAGAGAAAAGGGACAAAAAATGAATGAAAAAAAATTTCCATTGTGAAAATTTAGGCATTTAAAAGTCACTTGAAGAAAGAAGGTTCTTTTAGGTGCTGGTGCCGCCGAGTCAATATTTATCTGGTTACAAATGACCTGCCCTTGGATCACAAAGCTCAGGATAATTTAAGCCCTGTCATTTTCATAAGTTGTTATATAATTTTGCATGACTTTAGACCAGGTTCTCAATGAAAATTCAGTGTGGTAATGGCAATGGGACTTTCTGGGTGAGAAGTTCTTTCTCTGGATGGGGAAATCCTCATTGCATCAATGACTGTTTATTAACCTGTTCTGTATTAAGCCTGAGCTGCAGCTTTTTCAACAAGAAATACCAAAAATAGGAGCATTGGAAAATAGTTATTTCTGAACAATTTTTGAGCCACGTTGGTTTTGACTCATTTTTTTATGGCCAAAGAAGTTTCCTGACACGTGAAAAGTCTGTTTTCAGGAGGTCTATGAGGTCTATGTAAAACACTTTGCTATAATGATGGATTAATATCCTTGTGCTAACTAAGGCTTAAAGCCTGATTCAACTTCATTAATGCAGCCACTTCATTGTGCAGCCACTTCCATCCTGCTCAGGCACATAAATGGGACCCCTGATATCCTGGAATAGAGCAGGACATGTTGCATTAACAGGGAGAAGTGAATCCTTTCTCATTATTTAATTTTTTACCATATTCCAGGCAGGCAGGATAATTAACATGCAGCAGGGCATGGTCTAGATGACCAGTTAACCTCAGATAAATGTGCTCTGGTAATTACTCCCCACACAGCAATGCAAATATTAGAATAAGTTTTAGGAGGGGATTTTATGGATCTTCGAGTTTGAGTAGTTTAAGATTAAATAAACTGCCTGAACTTCACCTGAAATTTTCACCCCCAGACCATTTTTTCTCCCTTTTTCCTTGAACACAGAACTACACAAGTCAGCACTGCCTGAACTTCCCAAATCTTTGGCTGTTGAATTGGATACAGTCCAGGCTGGATGCTCAGACAGACTCATTTCTGGAGACAGGAGAGGTTTCTTTGGATTCTTTTCCTGTTGCACAGATACCCAGGCAAATGCTCCTGACAATCAGTTGAGGCCATGGAGTTTGTACAGACCCAACCACCCTTTCCATTAACAGCAGCACCTTCCTGCTGGCACTGGCACCCAGAGCCACTTCCACGGGTGTGACCTTGCTCACAGCTCTGTCTCCAGGGCCAAAATTCCCTTGCTTTTCCAGACATCCCTCTGAATTCCTCATGGCCTTTCCCTCTTGAGATCCACCAAACCAGTCAGCTCTGCTGTCAGGTTTGTGCTCGTGCAGCATCACTTGATGAATGAGAAGGTTGGTGCATCTTACAGTGGGGCCTGGGGAGTAACATAATGTAATAATATAAAATAATAATTAAAGCAGTTGTGGCTGGGTGTTCTCAAAGCTCTTTACAGGCAGGATCTGCAGAGGGGGCAGCTCTGTGCTTTAGGAAAGAAATAACTCTTTTCCAACTGGTCAGATAACACAAAGGAGAAGGAATATTTAATTATACCCTTGCAGAGGGACCAAGTTCCAAACTGTACCACTGCAGGAGAGAGATCTGGAAACTCCATTTAATAGGGCCCCTAAGCCATGCTGTTCAGCCACATATTTCCATTTCTAAACAACCTACTAAAAATCCTGCTCTGTGTTCACACAATTATTTCCACTTTGTATTTGTGGGAACTTTAATTTGGGGAGTTGCAAGAAGTGGAGCACCTAAGCTCTGCCTGGGAGTGGATGTTGACCCCCCCATTCCACCCCCTCACAATTAGTTAATATGATTAACATTAGTTAATAAGCATTGCTGGAGTCCACTACGGGTTTTCTTAGCAACTGATCCAACTGTCCAAAGGTGCTTAAAGTCAATTATATAAATCCATCTCTCTCCTGTAAAGTACATTTAGAGAGGCTGACACCAGCTGCTGCTGCAATGAGCTTTTTTAGCAGCATTAAAATTGTAAAACTCGACATGTTTCAAGTGCTGTTTAACAATTAATTTGCCTAAATATCAAATCTGATTTAAATGTCTTCAGTCAAAGCAGAGACATGCATGAGAAATTCCAGATGAATGGGTTTAACCCAGATGACATTACATGGGATGTCACAAAGACTGGGCAGCAGGAAGGAGGTGGTTGCCATGAATTTGGCATTGAAGACCTGTCTGATTTTTCCATGTGCCCTAGAAACTGCTTAATTCCTGAAAAAGCAGCAAATTTACAGCCCTGGCAAAGGTCATTCAGAGCAGGAGTAATTCTGTGCTACACCAGATTTGATGCCAGGCCTTCTGAGTCTGAAAAATAGCAGGGGAAAGGGCTCTTTTTAATCTGTTTTTCAGAAATTAAACCCTTTTTAGGATACATTATCCTGCCTCTTGAAAACACCAAAGGACAGGCTGGGTGCCAGGATGTAACAAGCTGCTTTCTGAGGTACCAGCTCTCACCTTTATTCAGGTTTGAAGGGATTAAAAGCTGTGCTGGAAAAACTCTTTGATCAAAGAAGCCTTTGGAAATTTGACAGTCTGCATCTCTAAGTTGCTGTATCCGGTTCATCCCAGCCTGGCATCACACTCTGACACCATTCTGCCATCCCCACATGCTCGTCTCAAGCCCAAAATCCAAATTCTCCATCAGGATACTTTGGCATTTAAAGGGTTTTTTTCTAACTGAGACATATCACAAGTATTAAAAAAAAAAAAAAAAAAAAAGGAAATTAACTGCAGAGTGGATTTTTGTTTTTCCCAGACTTTGCCAAGGTTTTTGTTACATGGGAGGATATGAGGAAAAGATTACTATAATGAATGTCACGTGCCTTTGATTTACCTGCTTGGTTTTAGTCTTTTACTGTTGAATTACACCAAGAAAAGACCTTTCAGGGCAGCAAGAGCAGGAAATGAAGCAGCAACGAGTGATAAAGGAGACTTTGGGGGAAAATATATCAAGGACACTTCAGGAAACAATGAGATGTTCTTGCTTAAGGAATGTTCAGCAGTTTGGGTTTGTTTGGATTCTTGTTTTATTTCCTAAAACTCTCCCTGAGCTGAGCCAGAGCTCGAGTGCAGGTTTAAGAGGTGAATGTTGGTGAGGGATGGCCTTGAGAGAGACCCTTGCTGGGAAACTCTGGGGCTCTCATTTGTTTTCAGAGTGGTTTTAGATGATGCCATAAAGTGTCATTTTGCAAAGTGCTGTTGGGAATCACTTGAAGTGAATGTAACAGGATGCAAGATGTAAATATTCCTGGAAGGGCCTGAGGTTCAGTTTGCCCACAGCATGGAAATGAGGACATCAGGATTGAGTGCAAGGGAACGAATTCCAGGAGAAACCCACGGACCTGGCCAAGGAGCTGTTGCTGATGTTTTGGGTGCTTTCAGTTCACGCTGCATGAAGGGGGTTCCTTTCAAAAACATTAAGTATTGAGACCCTCATGGATGATTTTAAAGAGCTGCTCTGTTAAATCCAACCAGTAAAGGTTTGCAGGTCAGTGCAGTGGTTTGGGTGAACATCCTCTTCGTGGCACAGAGGTGGCAGCAGATGTGAAAGCAGAATTTGGACCCTATTTTAAAACAACACCTTTCTTCTTTGCTCTGCCTCTGCTGTGGCATTTCCCTACACCAGAGCAAGGGCTCTGAATTCAGGCTGGGGGTTTGCACCCCAAGGAAATGCTTCAGAGCTGAGCACAGCAGCTACAAAAGGGCAGAGTTGTGGATTCCAGAGAGAACTGGGACAGTAAATTTGGTTTAGTTGGAGCGTGTGACCAGCAGATGGTTTGGGATAAACTGGAGGACGTGGAAACCGGGGGGGGTGTCAGGAGAACAAGTCACTGCCAGGTGAAGTGTTGGAATTCTGTGGGATAACCCACAATCCAAGCTCTCAAACAGTACTGGCTGTGACCCTTTCACAGATGTGAGGGGTTTGTAAGTACCTGGGGATGCAGAGGGGCACGGAGTGTTCGGGTGGCAGGAGAACAGGATCGTTCTGCCATTCCATGCAGCTCTGTGGTTTGGTGTCTTTCTCAATAGCTCAGCTGACCTACTTTGACTTAATTCCTTGGAACTGCCACACCTTAAATGCACTTAAACTGGAGGAAATAATTAGTTTGATTCTTGGAGACTCTCTGTAGCATTTGGGCTTAGAACAGCTGTAGCAGTCACAACTGCTTGGCAAGTATGTATGTTTTTTTAAAGTTAGATAAATGCACTTTTCTTATCTCTTGTTTATCCCAAAGCACATGGAACATAGGGAACCTTGCTGATTTTAAGTCTTTTTTTTTTTTTTAAATGAACTTCAAAGGAATGGAAACAGAGGGTGGCTGTAATTCAGTAGTTTGGGAAGAGGACAAACATTAGCCTTTAATTATTAGTCACAAACTTTACTGTCAAGACTGCGAAGAACTGGAGGAAAGTTCCATGAGCACAAACTGCTTGCAGTTAGAGGAGATTGCACAACTGGGCTGAGAGGACAGAGAGCTCTTGGGGAAATCAAACTCCCATGTCTGTGGGGAATTATAATTCCCAGTAAAAACGTAAAGGCTCCATCCCTCAGTTACAGATGTCTGCAGGCAAAGGGTGTATGTTCACCCCCTGCAGCCTCCTCAGGAGTTTTGGGTGTCTCTGTCTCCCACACTGAGTGAATAACCTGCATTTAGGAGTTTTTCTGTTGTGAGATCAGCACTGAGCTCCTGAAATCCTGTGTAAAGCACACCTGGAATCATTTAATTCCTACTGGGATAAGTGAAGATTAATTGGACTGTAATTGGCGACTTGGCCATCTGTGTAATGTCACTGTGGGCAGAGCTTTAGGCTCAGCTCATGAGAGGAGGATTCAGCTCTTCCCATCCCTAACCAAACATCACTTTATTTCCTAAGTTTGTTTTTTTTTTTCATCTTCCCCCTCACTTTTGGGAGCATATATGGGAGGTTTTGAGGGACTTCTGCCTTTCCTTAGAATCAAAAAAATGCAATTTTTAAACCTAAGAAAATTTATAGAACAATGAATGTCCATGTGCTGGTATAAAGAAATGTTCCTGAGAATGTGTAAGGCAAGCCCTGGAAGGGATGGGGCCAAAATGACAACAGCTGGAAAACTGTAATAGGAAAAAAAATAACAGGGATTAAAACCAATTCTAGGAAAAAATTTACTCTTGTGCTATAAAACACGTGTCTTATATCCTTAGTTGCACTGGTTTTCATGAGACTTAATCACTTGCTTGAAGTGTTTATAGAGTTTATTCTTTGAAGTACTTTTCTGTACCAGGATTTTTAAAAAAAAACACAAACCCAATCTGTTGCTGGACTTTTCTTCCATCCAACATTGCAGCACTTTGGTGTCCCATCCATCCTCAGGCTTTTCACCTGTGTCTGTAACATTTTACAAGGATTTCACTGAAGTCAGTAAAATCAGCCTGGATTTACATTCAGAGTTTGCAGAACGAGAACTGCTGCACCTTGTTTTTTGTAGAGGGTTTTTCTAGGTGGTTGCCTCTGTCCCAAACACAGGCCTTGCCTGTAAAGGCTGGGGGGGATTTTTGGGGAGGAGACAGGACCAGGTTGCTACTGAGGTCCTGTCCAGCCTCAGCTGTCCAGTGGATCCATGTTCCTTCACCTCTGCAGTGCCCAGGAGTGCAGGATAAAAGCAGAGGAGCTTTGAGGTGAGGGTCAGCATTGTGTGCCGTGGTGTGGGAAAGGTGACACACAGGACAGCTAAAAATACACATGTGGCACAGCCACCTTGCTCATTATGCACCTTGGAAGCTGGTTTGCAAATCGACCTAATAGTATTTAATCAGCTTTATTTAGAGATGAATTAGCATTTGACTTTGAGTTTGCAGTTGCAGAAGTCACCTGAGTTCCTGGGGGTTGTTTTCATGGAGTTGTGAAAAGCTGGAACAAGTGATAACTTCCCATTTCCAGTGGGATCCACATCTGTCCATTTCTCTCTTTTCTTCCATACAAAATCTGTGGTTCTTCTACCGAAACTTTTTGTTAATCAAACAAAAGTCTCACAAGACAAGGCCCTTTCAGGCTGCCTGGAGAAACTTCATATCCTGCCAATTTAGCTTTTAAAATGCCAGGTTTTAGCTGTTAAATTGCCAGTTGTAGCTTTTTTAAATGCTTTTCGTAGCACCATTTATTCTTAGAAGGTAAGTGGCACCAACACAGAACACCAGATTGGGACAATATTCTTTTTTTTCTTCTTTTTTCTTTTTTTATAACACAAACTGCGTTTCATCCTGTGGGTTTGTTGAGGTGGATTTGTCTGTGATGCTCATGTAGACCATTGACACATATATGGAAGTAAAACTGCGTTCTAGCCCAGAAAAGATCCCTTGTAATTAGCATTTCCCTGGGCGTTTTTTCTGCTTTATTGTTTGCATGCTGCTCCTGCTCCAGTCCCCCAAAGCTCCTGGGAATCTCTGTAGTTTATAGGATATGACTCACTGGGCTTTTGACACTGAGCTGTTTGACACAGAGATTTTATTTGTTCTGCCTTGGAGAAACGTGTGTACAGATAAAGGTTTCAGGGGGAGGGCAGTGACCCTCAAACTGTGTTACCTTTGAACAGTCTGATCTCCCCTAAAATGTTAAACAGGAGCGATGGGGCTCAGCCCTTGGCCCTGCAGTTGCTTCACACACACCAGAATGAAGGTAGGGGGTGAAAATAACCTTTAATCTGTTCACTTCCCACAGAATCGAGATGGGAGTGAAACAACCCATATTTGAAATTACTGCTGTAAAACATCCCTGCCTGGAATTCCAGTTTGGTCCAACGAGCAGGTAGGAATGTTAAGTGAGGGGATGGGATCATACTGCACTGTTCTTCCCTGCTGAGATTTCCCTGGACCTGCTGCGGTGCCTTTTCCACGTGGTTTCCCTTCCAGAGGCAGACCCTGCTCCATGTCTCTCTCCCACGTGAACACCTGATGTGGGGCTGCAAACTGCAGTGCACTTTCACCTCTGGATTTAATTCCCACTGGGAAACCCTTGTCCAGCAGTAGAAGGTCTAAAAAGGATGCTTGGCACTAGAGGGCAGTGACTGAGGGAGCTGATTTTCCAAGAGTCTTTTAAAAAGAATGAATTAACCACTGTGTGGCATTCCTGCCTATTCTGTGATCTGGATTTTGCAAAGTTGTCAATAATAGTTGTGGTTTTGAAGGTGTCATAGGTGTGAATTTTCCAGGATTTTTAGTGGTCAGGGCATGACCCAGAGCATTGAGTCATTTGGAATTCTATTCCAAAGCCTTGTATTTCAGGCACTTCAGGTTTTGGTCAGGCTTCCTGATGGGATATGTGTCCCAGAGGTTTGAAGTCAACTGTTTCCTGAGAAAAGTGGAAAACCATGTAATTCTCTCTTCAGATCCTTGGGGATTCAGAGGAAGCAAACATTGGGCCAGAAGATTCATAATCTGTATTTTGTGTGTTCAGGCTCTACATTTTGGGAAGGTCAAGTCCCCTCTCCATGCCTCAGTTTCCCCTTTCAGCACTTCTGTTGTCCCTATAAAAAGGAAGTGTGAGCACCTTTATCCTGTCCCTGTGGGATGTGAAATGCAGAGGCAGCATCTAAAAGAAATTCTGACCTACGTGGGACCTTGGAGTTGATTAAATTTTCCATCCTCTGAGGAAAGGCCTGTTTGGAGTTTGGGAAAGCGAGCTGGTGCCTAATTAGAGTTGGCTGTGGATGTGCTCCAGTGGGGGCCTCTCCTGGTAGTGTGGAAAAGTTGAAAAGGAGCCCGTGGTTATTTTAAAATTAATTATCACTCCTCTGAAGTCTCGCTGAAAAAAGAACAGCTCTGCAAAAAAAGGCAATAAAATTACTCCCAGACGAGGCAAAATGCACCATATGTCAGGGGCACCTCAGAGCCAGGGGGAGCTGCCTCCCTCCTGCCCACGTGGGGTTTGTGCCGAGGAATTCCAGGACACCTCGTGCTTCCCACGGCGCTTGGTGGGTGTCTGACACAGCAGCATCGTGGAGCTGCCTCTCTGCCTTAGCATTAATTCCTTGTTTTGCAATCAGCTGCTCGGGCCTTGCAGCACTTGCAACTGTAAGGGAAATATTGGAATTTTTATTCTTCATTGTTGACCACCTGACTCGAACATCTGTGGAGTAATGGATGGATGCAGGAGCTGAGGGGAAGAAAACATGGCTGGATCTTCTCGGCAGGGCGTTGGCTCAGCTCTCCTCAGGTATTGCCTCCTGATGTGCCAGGCACTTATTCCCTGCTGGCATCCAGCCTGGGGCTCTGAGTGCTTTGTGTGCTCCACGTCATTTACACCACGGAGCAAACAGGCAGCAAAGCTTTCTGAGAGGCCCCTGAGCAGCTCCCTTGGCAGAGAACAGCTCCAGGTGGGAATTCCCTCTGGAAAGGGGGAGAGGCCTGGCACACACTGTTGGAAGTGTGGCTGCAGGTAACGCTGTGCTCGACCAGGACACCCCCAGCAAAGGACAACATGGGAACCAGCAGGGAGGAAAAGGTCATTGAAATGTTTGGCCATGGAGAGAGGAAGAGAATTCTCCCTTAAATCCCTGGGAATGGGGAGAGTTGTCACTTTAAAAGCTCTGTGTCTGATCACTCTTTGTGCAACACCATCCCAAGCGTTCATTAAATGATACTGGATTAAATGCAGCATCCAGGGGATGATTTGTCCAAGAAGTTGTGTTGGGAAAAGGTGCAGGAAAATCCTGCAGCAGAGTCTCGGCCAGTAAAGCAGCTGCCCTAAAAGTGCTGGGAATTCTCTTCTTTTTGTTTCCTTATCTTTGCCCTCCTGGATAATAAACAGGCAAAGCCAGCTGTTGCCTCCTCCTGTGAATCTGTGACTTGTAGGAACAGCAAAACCACCTCAGTGTTGCCATGGAGTGCTGATGAAATCCCTGTTAGAGGGGTCTGCTAGTTATGGACATTCTGTTGGAGCTGGAGTGGGGGTTTCCCTGTAGATCCGTGTCCCAGAGAACTGACTGCACTGCAGATGAGGAGCTGAAACTGTGTTTTATAGTCTGGGTCAGCAAGTCTTTTGATATTCATTGATTAAAACTTGGCAAAAAGTTATTTTTGGATGGTAAGCCAGACAAGCCTGACCTCTCCCTGCCTTTGCAGAGAGAGCTTAACCCCGGACTGTGATTTCCAAGGGGCCTGGCAGGTATTCCAGGCTTTTTGCCTCCTTGTCCTCCAGCTCTGGACAGAGGGAGAAGCTCCCATAGTCATCTGGAACTTCCCATAACCAAAATACAAGAAGATAACACCTGTGGTCCTCAGGTGGGAAAGCTGGTGTCAGATGCCTTCCTCTAAGGATTGTTTGTCCTCATCTGCTGCCTGGTAGGAGTTCCCTCCCTCCAGGTCAGTGCAGGAACACGGTGCACAGCTCCCTGGGACCAACCAGGGGACTTGCTCTGCATTGGATTCGTTTCAGGCTCATTATTTCTGGAAGAACGAAAAGAAGGTGGAGACATTTAATAGGATCAGTTCCCCTTGAAGATAACTCCAGATCTTTCTGTAGTTAATGAGCAAGTCCCAGGAACCTAAAGAAGGAGGTGGTTATGGCAGTGCTGTCAAATCTGCACAAAAAGGACTGAATGTCTAAGAATAAAGTCATGGGTTTGTACGTAATTAACAGAAAGTTCTCAGCTATTGGCATTAATGTTCACAGGAAGGTGATTCAGCTCTTTGCTTATTGGACTTTGTCAGCTTTCCATGGCTGAAGCAGAATCTGATGGAATGACACAACTGTAAGTCACTAATTCCTATCCAAGGGGCTTCCTTGGCATCACCAGGGCAGGGACAGATGCACTTGGGATTGATGGGAACGGGAAAACTCACCACGTGGATGCTTTGGAGTTCAAAAGAAAAGCAAAGCCTCCATCCCAAACTGCCACTTAGACACTGTTAAATCTGATATCCCAAACCATGGGACATTTGTTCCCACTTTGTAGAACTGTAGGTAACTTCCAGTCTTTACCTGTTGGAGAAGATGTCTCAGGTATTTCCTGTTCTGTGTTAACCTTGGTAAATATTTTTGTATTTTATCCCTGATTCCCATCATGTGAACTCTGGAACTTGCTTGTGGCAAAGACTATCCCAGGGATATTTGTATTTTATACTGGTTTGACCATGGATTTGGGTAACTCAGGTGTTTTTGCTGTGCCCACTGGTGGTTTTGAGATGCTTTTATTGCAGTGGATCAGCTGGAAAATCTTGATTTACTCAGCCCCTTTTCTTTGCTTTAACAACCCTGTCACCTGCAAAGCAGGGATGGATTTCTGAGAAGAACTGTCCTGCACTGGGAAATGTCTCTGAGAGGCCCCTGGGATCTGCTGGGTGTTCCTGGAGAAGGGACACGAGGGGACTGTCCCTCCCTGGCCACAGCAGGACTGTCTCCCAGAAGATGGAGCTCTTTCCCCAGCACTGCTGATGGAGACCTTGTAAGTTCAGTATCATATAAAATATGGGCATTCTTACACATGGCACAATTTTTCTTCACAGCTGAGAGAAAGGAGAAAAAATGCACCTGCTGACCAGAGTTATTTCATTATAAAAGACAAGTCTGAGTTATTTTTTTATCAGTAACTTCTACTTAACAGTAATAATGGTACGTGGAAGTAAATGCAGCTATTCCAGATGCCAGGCTTGTTTTTCCTTTGAAGCTCCACATGACTCTTGGCAAGTTTGGGTCTTTAAAGCTTTGCAATTTTCATGAGTTTATCACTTGATTGGAGCTGGTTTGTCTCGCTGACAGCAGTTGCTCCCTTTTTGCTGGAAGCAAATCCTTCACTCCTCCCTGGGTGCAGAGGGGTATTTATTTCTGCTGTGCTTGGGTTTCCACCTCTGAATGATAAAGCTGAGAGGGGTTTTAAATTTCCACATTGGAAACCAAGTGACAAAGCAATGAGCAGAGGAGATTGAAAGAAAAATGTGGATGGATGTTGATTCTTGGAGACCCACAAATCCTGCAAGAGAGGAGTCCCTTGTGGTGGGACTGGAGCAGCAAAGCCCTCGTGGCATCAGATGATGAAGGAAATAATAAACACATGGGAATTTGACTGCCTTTATAATATGTGTGTTTATGTCTGATCCTCTTCCCTTAAAATCAGGGTTAACCCTCTCCCTCCTTCCCTGGGGGAATCTGGGACAAGGCTGTTGGTCTCTCTCAAGCCTGGACACACTGGGGAGCCCCTCTGGGAACTGGACAAAACTTGTTATTCCTGACCCCGGAGAACTGCCAGTGTCTCAGCTCCCCCTGCCTTTGGTGTTATGGACATTCTGCTTCTCATTCCATGACTGGAGCTCACATCCTCATTTTTACAGCTCACATGTGTGTTATCTGAACTGCAAAAGAGATTAAGAAGAAGGGAAGTTTTATAAGCACTGACATGGTTGTCATGACTACCTAAACCACTTTGCTGGTACCATACAAGTCTTTCACTTTATCTGTAGCTTTTATACAAAAAAACACCTTTTTTTTTCTTTTTTTTGCATGAGAGTCTAAAGAAGCAGAGCTCAGGAAATCTCTATAAACATAAATATGTGTGTGAGGGGGGGTGTAGCATCCAGGTGAAGATAATGCTCAACCCCTCAGTCAGATGACAAATCTGTGTGTTAAATTCTTTGGACAGTGAGAGGCAAGTCCAATCCATCCTCTGCTTTTGCCTGGACTGACAGGATCTGAAGCCCTGGCAATCAGGGCTACAGATGATTGAATGGAGTAGCCTGCTCTGCCTTATTGTGAGGGGCAGATATCCCCCTAAAGCTGCAACATGAGGAAGTTTAAAATTTAATTTATAAATATATAAATGTATTTAAATTTGGGTTTTAGATCTGTATCACAGGCCCATAAGGCTGAGACAGCTGGGACATAGGAATGCTCCTTGTGAGGCACTTGGAAACATGCAGTTGAGCCCTCAAAACCTTCTTTGATGCATTTTTTTAGACGTGTTTCAGGTAAGCCTTGTAGTATTTTTGAGGTTCTCTGAGTTTGCCTCATTTCTAAGGGAAAAAACTCTGGAGACCTGTAGGTAAATGTGGGATTGAATGTCCACTTTGTTGCACAAATGTACAGTAGTTGATCTTGAGCAAATAATTCTCCAGCTCTCAGACTCTGATAATCTGTGGACCGAGTATCTAATGCTGCAAATGTTGTTTGGAAACTTTTAAGCCCTGTCCTGTTATGCAAGAAATGAGAAGTGAACATTTATACACTTGCAGTTTGAGCTGTACTGAACTAAGTCTGTGGAATGCATTGTGAGATGTAAAAAACCAACAAAACCGCAAAAAACCCACCCCCAGAACCCCGAGTCTCAATAAAGCTTCTAGACAGAACGTGCCCTGGGTATCTGGTGTCTGAGGCAGCTCTAACCCTTTGTGTTTGTTGGGAGGTGGTGGGGTGGCTCCAGGTGGTGCCAGTCGTGTCCCTCGGCTCCTCCCTCGGCTCCTCCCTGCTCCTCCTCTCCCGGCACTGGAACCAGGTGGGGCAGCTCCAGCTCCCAGTAAGTCTGAGGGGTCTTGGTTTCTTTGGGTTTTGACACAATGTTTGGGGCCATTTTCTGCTTGCAAGGGAATTGTAAAGCAAGTCCCAAGAGTCTTTCCAGATCAACTTGCTATTTGGATTTAAGAACTGGACATGGAAAACTTGTATCCAAATTTATTTGAGACAGAGATTTTCCTTTAATGGCACCTTGACCATTGAAAATATAAATTCATGCAGTAATGTTTTAGTTTACAGTTTAATACAGCGTTCCTTGGAACACTTTATACGTGAAGCCAGAGCAGAGGAACAGAGACTGTGTTTTCCTGACACACACTATTGCTTTAAGGTACTTTTCACATCACTTGATTAATTAATTAATGAATTCTGCCACACAACTGCAGTTATTTGGGATACAATCACTGTGGAAGGAAGGCAAAGATGATTGATTAGAGCACAGCAGAGGAGCTCACTGATGTCACCATGTGACAGAACAGGATTGGATCCCAGAGGTTTCCCTAAAAACAGACTGCACAGGGACTGCTCTGTGTGTGCCCAGCTGCTCTGCTGTGCAGTCATATAAGGCATTAATAAATTCAGCTGTAAAAAAAGGTGATTCTTTGAGGTTGCTGAAGCACTTTGTGTGTTAAACAAGCAGGAATCCCCTCCTTTAACGGGATGTTTTCGCTACTTTTCCATGCAGTGGCAGCAGAGTGGCCTGGCAGGAAGGTTCCAGAGCTCAGACCCTGTTGTCCTGAACTGGGACTAAAGCACTATTTAGCATTGCTTTGCAAAGACTAAATGTAAGTAAGTCTACATGGTTTGTTTTAGCCTTTATTTATTTTAATTAACAAAGAAAGGTAATTTAAAAATCTGGTAGTGGTTCCACACCAGGAATTTTAAGTGGCTTAAATGCCAGTTTTGACAATGCCCACGTTTGCTGTTCCTTTCTGAAGAGTTTCTGTGGAAAAAGCTCAACTTGCTTTTTCCAAGTCCACCCTCCCTGGGGGTTTTGGTTCTGGCAGAAGGTTGTAACAAGTGGAGAGTGACTTTCCTTTCCTTTTGGGAATGTCTGTGGTCCCAGTCCCTCCCGGGGCAGCTCCGGGCTCAGTTCAGCTGCCGCAGTGCCCGGGCTGGGCCGAGGGGCTCCGGGAGCAGCAGGATGGGGAGAGGAGCCCAAGGGCCCTCCAGGGACATTCCAGGGAGCCCCTCCAGAATGGGAAACAGGGCTCCTTAGGGGCTTTTTCCAAGGTTCTGGCTGGCCACTGCCTGTGGAAGTAGCTCCCTGTAAAGCACATTTTCCCAGGAAGAGCAGAGGGCAGGAGCTCTGTGGGAATGAGCCTCGGTGTGGGTGTGGAGGTGAGTGTGCCCGGGTGTGCAAACCCTGTGTGCCCCCTGCTCCGGGGCAGTGCCATCAGCTGGTCCCTCTGGCAGCACGGAATGCTGTTG